TAATTCCTTCCTTCACTATTCTGACATGGTATCAGAGGGAAGGTCTCGGGTTCGAATCCCAGTGTGTGCACTTCGGGCATCCCAGTGCGGGGGGGTGTCAGAGGTCCACTGGTGATCCCCGATTGATCCTAGGGAAGGGTTACAGGCTCGTTGTCCTGGGGGGTTATGGGCGCACTGACCCGCTACTTAACAAGCCTTTTTATCCCAATGGTCTAGTGGTTGGGATTCTGACATGGTGTTAGAGCGGTCTCGGGTTCGAATCCCGGTGTATGCACATGCAGGCCGTTGCCACTGTGCTCAGTCCTGGGCCTCCCAGTGTGGGGGGGTGTCAGTAGAGCTGCAGTGTGAGATCCCCGATTGATCCTTGGGGGGTTACAGGCATGTTAGCCTGGGGGGTTATGGGCGCACTGACCCGCTACTGAAACAAGCCCTTTTATCCCAATGGTCTAGTGGTTGGGATTCTGACATGGTTTCAGAGCAGGTTCCCTAGTGGGAACGTTTTTAAGGGCCCACCACGATCGTTTTCCTGCCCTGCCGAAGTGCGCCTCGCGCCTGCCTCACCTGCGCCGTCGCGCGCTCTGCTTTACTGCCGCCCGTAGCGGCCCTGCCCTACCGGCCCGTCGCGGCCCTGCCCTAACGGCCCGTCGCGGCCCTGACCTAGCCGCCCTTCGCGGCCCTGCCCTGCCGCCCCCCGTTGCGGCCCTGACCTCGCCGCCCGTCGCGGCCCTGCCCTGCCGCCACCCGTCGCGGCCCTGCCCTGCTGCCGCCCCGTCGTGGCCCTGCTCTGCCGTCGCCTCGTCGCGGCCCTGCCCTACAGCCGCCGCGTTGCGGCCCTGACCTAACCGCCCGTCGCGGCCCTGCCCTGCACCCGCTCCTGGTAAGCGTGTCGCCCCTGCCCTGCCCGTCGCGTCACCCTAGGGCACGCGCGCCGCCCCTGCCCTGCCCGTCGCGTCGCCCTAGGGCCCGCGCGCCGCCCCTGCCCTGCCTGTCGCGTCGCCCTAGGGCCCGCGCGCCGCCCCTGCCCTGCCCGTCGCATCACCCTAGGGCCATCGCGCCCTGCCCTGCCCGTCGCGTTGCCCTAGGGCACGCGCGCCGCCCCGTACAAGCCGCCCGCGCACTGCCCCTGCAGCCCGCGAGCCACCCCTGCAGCCCGCGAGCCGCCTCTGCAGCGCCCAGCGCGCCGTGCCAAACCCTAGAATAAATAAATAATTAAAAAAAAAAAAAAAAAAAAGAGGAGCCCTAGGTGCTGCTGCCCCATGAGCTACTACTGCTGCTACAGCTGTTACTGCTGCTACTGCTACTACTGGCGGTGGCCAGATGCAGCTCCAGCGACGTCCGCGTGAGTCCCTCACGCCCCAGCAGCTTCGTGAGTGGTACGCTAGTTGGGGTTGTGGCGGCGGCCGTAGTGGCAGTCGCCCTGGAGCTGGTCAGTCGGGTGCTTCTGGCAGTGGCCAGATGCAGCTGCAGCGGCGTCCGCGCGAGACCCTTACGCCCCAGCAGCTTCGTGAGTGGTACGCTCAGAGTAGAGGGTCTCGGAGTACCGTTCGCTGCCCGTACGTCATTCGCACAGGTGATCGGGCTGGTCAGACTTGTGGGACGATTGGTCACACACAGTCCCACTGCTTCGCCCATCTGAGCGACGCCTGGCGTACCGAGTTTGGCGACGAGGCTGAGCTCCCCGACTGGGTGGAGCTGCTTAGGCAGCGGGTGGATATCTTTGCTCTTGACTATGATGCTATCCTCACTGCCATGTATGCATTGTCTACTAGTGCTGAGGGTGCCTGTTACCTGTGTGTCCCGCCTGACCCAGGTATAGAGTCTGCTGCTCTAGGTGCTGGTGAGGCTGCTGCTCTAGGTCCTAGTGAGTCTGCTGCTCCAAGTGCTGGTGAGTCAGCTCTCTCTGGTACTGCGCCTGCTGAGGTCTTGCACACCTTCACACTTGACTCAGGTGCTTCCCACTCCCTCTTTCGCGACAGAACCACACCCACGCCGCTCAGTCGGCCAGTTGCAGTCTCCCTGGCGGACCCCTCTGGGGGCCCCGTCCTTGCGCACTCCTCCACGGTCCTGCCGTGTCCGGCGGTCCCGTCTGGCTCACTGTCGGGACTCCACCTCCCCTCGTTCTCTACGAACTTGGTGAGTGGAGCTGACCTCTAGGACGTGTGGGTTGACCAGTTCACCCCAGGAGGTCAGCGTGTGACCCACTGCACCTGCTCTCGGACGGGCCGCCACCTGGCCACGTTCACCCGTCGGCCTGGGTCGAGTCTGTACACACTGACTACTACGTCTCCTCCGGTTACTGCGTCTGGTCAGGTAGCCACGTCTGGTCAGATGTTTGCTGCCGCGTCCAGGTCTAGTCCGGCGTCTGCCCCCTGCACGTGTCGTCCTCTGTCACACGAGACTCTCCTTTGGCACCACCGCCTTGGTCACCCCTCCCTGCCTCGTCTTCGAGGTATGGCCTCCCGTACCCTTGTCTCTGGTCTCCCCCGGTCCCTCCCTCCCCTTCCTCCGGGGCCGGCCCCTACCTGTGTTCCTTGTGTTGAGGGCCGGCAGCGCGCCGCTCCTAACTCCTCCGAGTTCCCTCCGACAGAGGCTCCCCTGCAGACTCTCCATATGGACGTGTGGGGCCCAGCCCGCGTCCGTGGACAGGGTCACGAGCGTTACTTCCTGCTGGTCGTTGACGACTACTCGCGTTACACCACAGTCTTCCCCTTGCACCGCAAGGGTGAGGTCTTTGAGGTGTTGATCGACTGGATCCGCGGTGCTCGTCGCCAGCTCAGCGAGAGTTTCGGCTCGGACCTTCCTGTTCTGCGTCTGCACTCAGACAGAGGTGGTGAGTTTTCCTCCGACCTTCTGAGGGCCTTCTGTCGTGCGGAGGGCATCCGCCAGACGTTCACGCTTCCGGCCTCCCCACAGCAAAATGGGATTGCTGAGCGCCGCATTGGCATGGTCATGGGCGTCGCTCGTACGTCCATGATCCATGCGGCTGCTCCCCATTTTCTGTGGCCGTTCGCGGTTCAGTACGCTGCGCATCAAATCAACCTTCAGCCTCGTGTCTCCTTGCCGGAGACCACACCTACTCTGCGGTGGACGGGGAAGGTTGGCGATGCGTCTGTGTTCCGTGTCTGGGGATCTCGAGCTTTTGTCCGCGATTCTTCCGCGGACAAGCTGTCCTCCCGTGCTGTTCCCTGCGTCTTCCTTGGCTTCCCCCCTGACGCGCCAGGGTGGCAGTTTTACCACCCCACCTCGCGTCGTGTTCTGTCCTCTCAGGACGTCACGTTTGACGAGTCGGTATCTTACTACCGTCTCTTTCCCTACCGCACTGCCCCTCTCCCCCCCCCGCCAGTCTTCCTCGCACCAGGTGCTCCTCCGGTAGACCCCCTCCCCCCTCAGGGTCCTGCCCCCTCAGGTGTGTCCCAGGTAGACCCTGTCGAGCATGTCGAGGTAGCTGTCGACTCTGGTACTGTTAGGGGTGCTGAGCCTGCGGGTGCGGGGCCTGGGGGTGCTGAGCCTGGGGTTGCTGAGTCTGAGGGCGCGGAGCCTGGGGGTGCTGAGCCTGAGCGTGCGGAGCCTGGGGGTGCTGAGTCTGGGGGTGCTGAGCCCGAGCGTGCTGAGTCTGGAGGTCCTCCGAGTGTCCCGTCACGGCGATAGCCCCTCTCTCCACAGCAGCTGCGTGAGTGGTACGCTCGGCGCTGTAGCCGTGCTGCTGGAGCTGGAGGGCCTGCTACTGGAGGTGATGCTGGTGCTGGAGCTGCTGGAGCCGCTGGTCCTGGAGGTGCTCGTGCTGGAGGTACTGGCGCTGCTGGAGGTCGTGCTGGTGTTGGAGCTACTGGAGGTGCTGGAGCCGCTGGTCCCGGAGGTGCTCGTACTGGAGGTACTGGAGCTGCTGGGGCTGGTGGTGCTGCAGGAGTTGGAGCTGGAGGTGTTGGAGCTGTTGCTACTGGGTGTGCTGCTGGAGCTAGAGCTGCTGGAGGTACTGCAGCTGGTGGTGCTGCGGGAGTTGTAGCTGGAGACCCTGGAGCTGAGGGTACTGGTGCTGTCTCTGTTGTTTCTGGAGGCGCTGCTCGGCCGCGGCCGTACTGCGTTCCGCTCCTTCAGCAGGTTCTTGGCCTCCCACCTTCTACTGGTCCTACTCCTCCCTTACTGAGTCCACCGCCGGTCCAGTCGCAGTTGCAGTTACAGCCAGCCTCTCCACTGCCTGGTCCTTCTCTTTACTCTGGACCGACTAGAGGTCTTACGGAGCGTCGTGAGCCTGAGTCTCGTCCTGCGTCGCCTGAGTCTCGTCCTGCGTCGCCTGAGTCTCGTCCTGAGTCGCCTGTTCGCGCTGTCCGCACTGGTCGTCGTGTTCCGCGTCAGCGTCCTCCTCCTGTCCCCGGCACTCACTATATGACTCTGCGTCCTTCCACTGCTCCACAGCGTGTCCCTCTGCCGTCTCCTCCTGCGTCCTCTCTTCCTGACGGTCCGGACCCGGAGTCTGACTCCCTTCGTGCTGCTAGTCCTACTGTCACGCGTCTCCTGGCCACTGTTGTCACTGACCCTTCGTTTGAGTCCACCGCTGCGTCTGCTCTAGTTGCTGAGCTTGTTGACTTTGCTGCCGCCTGTCGTCTAGACTACGCCGCTAGTCTTGTTGCTGAGTCTGAGTCTGAGTCTGACTGTCCTCCGTCCGTCGGGGGTGAGTGTGCTCTTGGCACGGACGTCCTTGAGGAGAGACAGGAGGAGTTTGAGTGCTTTGCTGCTGCTTTACCTCATCTCGTGTCCATGCTGCTTGCCCCTGAGGGAGACCCGGATGCACCAGACATCCCGACCCCGCGCTCTTACGCAGAGGCGATAGAGGGTCCCTACTCCTCTCAGTGGCAGATAGCCATGGACGCAGAGATGGCTTCCTGGAAGTCCACAGGCACCTACGTCGACGAGGTTCCCCCACCTGGGGCGAACATCGTCAGTGGCATGTGGATTTTCAGGGTGAAGCGGCCGCCGGGTTCTCCGCCTGTCTTCAAGGCGCGTTACGTTGCACGAGGCAGGGCGCTGGCGCGGGCAGCAGCACGCACGGACAGGGCGGCGCTGGGCAGCGAGTGCAGGCCCGCGGCGGGCGCAAAACGCAGGCACGGCGGGCGCAAGGGGCGGGCCCGCGGCGGGTGTAGCGGACAGGTGCGGGAGGGGCGAACAGGCGGGCCCGTGGCAGGCCGAACGGGTAGGCGCGGCGGCGCGAAGGCAGGGCCCGCGGCAGGCCTAACGGGCGGGCGCGGCAGCGGGCGTAACGGGCAGGCGCGGCGGCGCGAAGGGCGGGCCCGCGGCGGGCATAACAGGGCAGGGCAGGGCGTGCGCGATGCAGCGCGACGCGGGGCAGGGCAGGGCGTGCGCGGGGCAGCGCGACAGGCAGCGGGCGCGGCGGCGGCAGGCAGCGGGCGCGACGGCGCGCTTAGTAGGGCGGGTGCAGGGCAGGGCCGCGACGGGCGGTTAGGTCAGGGCCGCAACGGGGCGGCTGTAGGGCAGGGCCGCGACGAGGCGGCGGCAGAGCAGGGCCGCGACGGGGCGGCAGCAGGGCAGGGCCGCGACAAGGCGGCTGCAGGGCAGGGCCGCGACAGGTGGCGGCAGGGCAGGGCCGCGACGGGCGGCGAGGTCAGGGCCGCAACGGGGGGCGGCAGGGCAGGGCCGCAACGGGCGGCTAGGTCAGGCTGCGACGGGCGGCTAGGTCAGGCCGCGACAGGCGGCGACAGGGCAGGGCCGCGACGGGCGGCTAGGTCAGGGCCGCGACGGGCCGTTAGGGCAGGGCCGCGACGGGCCGGGAGGGCAGGGCCTCTACGGGCGGCAGTAGGGCAGGGCGCGCGACGGCGCGGGTGAGGCAGGCGCGAGGCGCGCTTCGGGCAGGGCAGGAAAAATATCGTTATCGTGGTGGGCCCTAGAAAAAACGTTCCCACTAGGGAACCTGCTCTGAAACCATGTCAGAAAGTAGGAATGAAGGATGACTAGAATGGCAGCAGTACAGGGTTTGTATAGCAAAACCTAATTGGGCTGTACCCTATAAGGAGTGCCCCACTACAGCTTAAAGCATATAAATGCATAGTTCTGACATGTAGCGCTCGACACTCCCATCGGCTCCCAACTTCTTCTTTTAACACCAACATGCTTCCCACAAAGTAGGCACCCTTTGGCGGGTCGACGAGCTCGAACACGTCGTTCTCCTTGATCGAGGCCAACTCCTTCTTCATTGCTTGCTTCCATAGCGGTGCATCCGGAGAAGCCAATGCCTCCTTGTGGGTGCGGGGGCTATCATCACCCATGGTTGCGAAGCAAAACACCACACTCTCCTCATCCGCCTTCCCAACAGCTACAGTAGCATAGTCGTCGTACTTGGGGTTTGGGTGAGGTGCACGACGCTCGCGGATCAATGCCAATGGTGGGGAGGAGGGTGTGGAGGAAGTTGCTGCCACGGTTGGTGGCACCTCCACGACTTCATCATCGCTCTCCTCGTTGCTCTCCCCCCCTTCATTTTCGGCGTCCTTTTCCGCTTGCGGTGGAATCTCCACCGCCTCATGCTCCTCTCGTGCCGGAAGGACGAAGGTGAGTTGCGGCGCCGGTTTTCCCTTCGACGGGAACTTGTCTTCCTCGAAGACCACATCCCGAGACGTGACGAGGCGCTTCTCACCCAAATCCCACACTCGCCACGCATGCTCATTCGGTGCGATTCCTAAGAAGATCGCCTCACGAGTCTTCGGTTGCAACTTGTGACGAAGGGGGTCCGGTACATGGTAGTAGCAAAGGCACCCAAAGGTGCGTAGGTACGAGAGGTTCGGCTTCGTTCCGCTCCATGCTTCGAACGGCGTCACTCCCGGAAGCACCTTGGTTGGCAAGTGATTACGAACCCATGCCGCAAGCCCACTCGCCTCTCCCCACCAATCGTCCCAAGCTTGTAGTTTTGAAGTAGCGAATGAGCGGCCTCCATCAACGTGTGATTAAGCTGCTCCTCCGCTCCATTTTGTTGAGGGGTGTAGGGTGTTGAGACGTCGTGCCGAATGCCTTTGCTCGTCATCCATTTTTCAAGCTCCGCGTTCACGAATTCGCCGCCTCCGTCGGTGTGGATGCTCTTGATCAGCTTCTTGTCGTCATCGCAAACGAGGAGCGCCCACTTTTGAATTGCGGTAGCCGCATCTCCCTTGGCCTTCAAGAGTCGGGTCCAACACTGTGAGGATCTGGTTCAGGAAAGATAAATATATTGAATGATTCACCTGGGTACAAGGCAAGGCTATATATAGGCTCGACACAAGGCAGGCAACCCAGGTGTTACGCGAATGTTCTGAGGGTCGCGAAGCGTCCCGAACAGAACCTTCCCGAACTTGGTAGAAAGCAATTCGGTGGAAACCGAATAGGCTTGAGTTCGGTACATGTAACCTGGTTCGGTGCTATAACTATAATAACATATAGGAATGCACCTAACCTAGGAAATCAAGCATATCTATGCATAATAAATAAAACCTAAGGTAGTAATAGCATAATAAAGTCCAGGCAAGCTAGCAAAGCCAGCATAAGCCGTCGTACTCTCACACATCCCCCCCTCAAAGCTGGGTGGCGTGAGAAACACCCTGCTTGACAAGATAGTCCTTGAGAGCACGGCGTGCGTTGCCCATACCAGCTTCTGCGACGGGTCGTATCCCTTCCAGCGTATTAGGAACTCGAGCGTGTTGCCGCGTCTGCGTCGATGAGCGAGCACTTGTTCCACCTTGTACTCTGGCTCATCCTGTACGAGGACAGGTGGTGGTGGCGGTATCTGGCGTCCCTGGAACTGTTGGTTGGGGTCCTTAAAGGGCTTCAGTAGCTGAACATGGAAAGCGTTGTGAAGCTTCCACGTAGTAGGTAAGCGCAAGCGGAATCTTACTGGTGTCACCTGTGCCTCAACGTGAAAAGGACCACAGAAGCGAGGCCGGAGCTTAGATGGTAGGTGAGACAGGTTCAAGTTGCGCGTATCAAGGAGCACCTGATCTCCGACTGCTACGGTATGATCACGTCGCTGGCGATCGGCATACTGTTTCTGGGAGGTCTGCATCGTGGTGAGGCGTCGCTGAGTCTTCTCCCATAGCTGCTGCATGGTGGTGACGAAATCATGTGCGGCTTGGACGTGTGCCGGTGTGGTTAGCTGCTGTGGTGTAAGTGGTTCTCGTCCGTAACACAGGAAGAAAGGAGATTTCCCTGTGGCCGCATGTGAAGCGTTGTTCTAAGTGAACTCAAGCGTCGGTAACTGTAGATCCCAGTGGCTGATGTCGTCTTTGCAAGCTGTGCGCAGTAACTGTTCAACCACCTGATTGAGTCGCTCAGTTTCCGTCAGTCTTAGGGTGGTACGCTGAAGACATCGCAAGCTTTGTCCCCAACAAACCCATGAGTTCCCTCCAGAATTTACTTGTGAACTTTGGGTCTCTGTCTGAGATGAGTGTAGCGGGGATGCCGTGGATGGTGATGATGCGGTCGAAGAAGAGGCGAGCAGTTGCTTCAGCTCTAGCCATGGCGTCGGTTGGAATGAAGTGACCCATTTTGGAGAACTTGTCGATCACCACGAGTATAGCGTCATGCCCTCGTGAGGTCGAAGGAAGTCCCGTGATGAAGTCGAGGCTAACGACTTGCCATGGCTGCTCCGGTACGGGTAGAGGCTGAAGTAACCCTGCTTTTTTCTGCTTGCTACTCTTCATCCGCTCGCACGTGTCGCATGAGGTGACGAACTGCTGCACGTCTGCTGCCATCCCGGGCCAGTAGTAATACTTTGCTATCCCTGCTAACGTCTTGTTGCTCCCGAAATGTTCCGTGTATGGTACGTCGTGAAACTCCTCCAGTAGGATCTGTCGGAGCGGGGCATAGTTCGGTACCCAAATCTCCCCTGAACTCTTCCTTACAGCTAAGTCTTTCTCCCACTGTAATAGCTTCTGTTTCTCTGCTGTAGCGATCTCTGCGTCCACGGAGTATCCATGTTGGAATAGACCCTTGAGCAGAGGGTTCATCCCGTCGAGCTGGATGCCTGCTACATGACCGGGGCGGCTTAACGCGTCTGCTTTGTTGTGTAGCCCGGGCTTGTAGATGATGTCGTAGTAGAAGTGAGTTTCCAGGAAGTCCACCCACCGCACCTGTCGTCGTGAGAGTGTCGGCTGCGACTTCAGGTATTTGAGACTGCAGTGGTCAGTATAGACTGTAGTCTTGGCTCCCTCTAGGTAACACCTCCACGCCTTGAAGGCTATGACTATCGCTAAGCCTCCTTGTTATGAATGGGGTAGTTTAGTTCTGCTCCGTGTAGCTTCTTACTGAGGTAGGCGATGGGCTGCAAACCGCGTCTGTGATCCTGCATCAGTATTGCTCCGACTGCTTGGTCACTAGCGTCTGCTTCCACCACGTAGTCCTTGTCTGGATCCGGTAGGATGAGTACTGGTGCTGTAGTCAGTGCTGTCTGTAGCTGCTCCATGGCTTGCTGATGAGGAGTGTCCCATTTGTAGGGCGTATCCTTTTTGAGTAGGTCGGTCAGTGGCGCTGCTATCTTAGCGTACTGCGGCATAAACCTGTTGTAGTAGTTGACAAAGCCTAGGAACTGCTGCAACTCCTTCACGTTCTCCGGTACTTTCCACTTCTTAACGGCTTCGATCTTCCTGTTGACCCAGTCTATCTCGTGGTTGAACCGCTTCAGGAAATCTCGCCCCAAGATGAAATCTAATCCCTTGATGTTCGTGATCGGCAACGTCAGCTTCCACCTCAACGCCCCTATCTGCAGCTGCAATGTTGTCTCGCCGCAGATGGGAAGCTTCGTACCGGCCACCATCGTTGCTGTAAATTGGGTCTCCTCTGAGGATTCTCCAGTTTTCTCCAACGTCCCGCGGTCGCACAGCGAGTGGGACGCACCACTGTCCACTAGTGCCTGGAGGCGTCGCCCGTTGCAGATCACCTCGAGGAGTAGTGGCTGCTGCTGCTCCGAGTAGCCGTAGATGGTCTCGCTTACAGGATCATAGGGTACGTCAAATATATCGTCCTTAGGTCCTGCGCTCGAAGCTGCTGACTCAATATCAGGTTTCACCTGAGTAGGGTTAGAAGGATTTATCCTAGGCTGGTACAGCTTCTCTTGTGCCTGGAACCTTCCCCTAAGCCTTTGCAGCTGTGTAGGCTTCACCAGTGGGGAACGGCGGGGAGCCTTTAAACAGTGCTGCTAGGAGAGAATATTAACTCCTCGGAACGCTCGACCCTTATCAACGCTCCGTAGTAGGGTCCCCATATTACCCGGTACCGGTTTAATTTCTGACTCTCCCTTAATAAAGGCTTGAAAACCACGAGAAGTAATATTCTTACTTGTCGAGGTGTAGGGCTGGAGTTTCCCGGTCGGTGCAGGGTCTTGTTACGCGGAGTCTCCTTTTGTCTCGGTGATTTCCCCTGGTGCCGGCTGGTCGTGACGTTTAAATTCGCGCCATCATGTTCTCCTTTTTTTTCCCTCTCCGATGTTGATACGTTGTCCGTTTCCTGCTTCGGGGGTGCCGCACTGTTCTTGCCCTTCTGCTCCGCACGTCTTTTCTTCATTTTCCAACACGCCAAGATATGATGTCCTGTAGCGCCGCAGAATTCGCACGTCTCATTGTTTGCTAGCCGCTGCGTCGCATCGTCCTTGTCGTTCTCCATCGGGTCGGCAGTCGTAGGTGGTGCCGTTTGCTCCATGCCACTATTTGGCTTGTTGCGTCGTGTTCCGTAGTAGCTACTGTTCAACGCGTCAAACTGTTCGATAAGTGCTGCCCGAAACTGCATCCACGTCTCTTCGCCTTGGACAAGTTTGTTGTTGATCCACTCTAAAGCTGGGCCACGTAACAGTGTCGTTGCGAGCCGTATGCGCATCGCGTCTTGGGTGGGGGTCGTGCATCCAACGGCTTCGAAGTAAGTTTCGAGTTCAGCTACGAACCGACGAACGTCGCTCCCTTTAACTATAGGATCGAACGCCTCCGGTAGCCTCGGCTTCATTGCTTCAAGGTTAACTGTAGCTGCTGCCGTTGTCGCATGTAGAATTGTCGGTGTTGTCGCTGCTACTGCTGCTGCTGCTGCTGCTGTCGCTGCTGCACGTATCTGCTTATGCTCGGCACGTAACTCCGCGATTTTCCGTACGGAATTATCTCTATTTCCCTCCATTTGGCGATTTGCGGGAAGATGTGCGACGAAACTAAACGAATTCTAGGTGCTGGTCGACTTACTGCGAGTCGAATTGACTGTAGAATCGACGAGCTCGAATTCTGTACGTCGCACAATTCTCCCTTAGTCGAAATTCGCGTCCAATCTCGGCCCAATTCGAGGGTCAGGCCAAAAGTGTCCCGCTTTGCCACAATAGTGGTACTTGCTCGCGCCACCCGATGCGTTTCCCTTGCCGCGGTACTCGCTCCCACCGGACGATTTCTTCGCCGAGCCCTTGCTCCAATTGGACCTTTTTTCCGGAATTCACTCCGGAGAACATGGCGGTTCCCGTGCTCTCGTTGGCAAATTGTCGGCGACGCGATTCCTCATGGAGAAGCCGACCGACCACCAAGTCCTTCGTCCAAGTGTCTTGCACGCCTTCGAGTGTCGTGATGAGCGTCGACCACTCTTCTCGGTGAACGCGCCACCGAGGTCTATGAACGTTTCTCTGAGTTCCTCCACACGATTCGCATACTCGTGCATCGATTCGCCCTCGCGCCACTGTCGAGAGAACTGTGTAGGAATGGGGAATGACTAGGAACAAGGAGATACAAGTAGTAAACCCTAACTGGGGTTGTACTCTATACTGAGCACCTCACTGTGGCCTAGCCGAACTAAGAACATATAAATTTGTTTTGACACACCCCCCTAGGCAAAGTGAGGGATAGCCAACACAACAAACGGTCACAAGACCAGTCAGGCAAGAGAACAAAGCAATGCAAAGCCCAGGGTGGATCTCAAGATCACCACGCATTCTGAGCACAAGCAAGCGGCCATAAGGCCATCTCACATGCAGAGTGATAATAGCAAGGCAGTACACTGATCACAACCTAGCAAGTGTAAACCTGCAGGTATAAATATAGATATCAGTGTACAACAAGTGCAATATCAAGAGACAAGCAGGTGAGGCAAAGCGGGGAGAAGCCCAAGAGCAGTGCGAAAACGCTGATGATCACCAGACCCGAGGGCCTTGGTGA